AATTTTGAGGGGTTGGTTGAAGATTAGACTTGGTTTTGGATGAATTTCAGATTAAAACTCGAAGAAGAAGAAGAAGAAGAAGAAGACATGACATACATTATATTGCAGAAATTGTAGAAAAATTGTAGATAAATTGTAGAAAAATTGTAGACTGTTGTTTATTTATTTTTCTTTTATTCATTTACCTATTGTATGAAAGTTGAACAACATTGTATAAAAATTGTATTTAAGTGGATGATTTAGTACTGTTTTGGACAAAAATATGTATCAAAAATGTGAAACATACATTTCAGGGGAAGCATGTCGAGTCCAAATATGTACCCAGTTTGTAGATATTTTGTAGATAAATTGTAGATTATTTGTATTCTGATTGTAGATGCTTTATTTTCTGTTTTCACAAATAAAAAACGACTAAAACTTCTACAAATCTTCTAAAAAAACGCAATTATGTCAAAAATCCCAATTATGCTACAATTGAATGGGAATTGGGATATTAAAATTCAATGTACCCAGTTTGTAGATATTTTGTAGATAAATTGTAATATATGTATTCTGATTGTAGATGCTTTGTTTTATGTTTTCACAAATCAAAAACGACTAAAACTTCTACAAATCTTCTGCAAAAAACACAATTATGTCGAAAATCCCAATTATGCTACAATTGAATGGGAATTGGGATATTAAAATTCAATGTACCCAGTTTGTAGATATTTTGTTGATAAATTATAGATTATTTGTATTCTGATTGTAGATGCTTTGTTTTCTATTTTCACAAATCAAAAACGACAAAAGCTTCTAAAAATCTTCTGCAAAAAACGCAATTATGTCGAAAATTCCGATTATGCTACAATTCTGTGATTCCCTATATGCTCTTGTTACTCCTTACGAAACTGCTATGCTAAATATGAAATCCAAAAAAACATGATGAAGGGATAGATCTTCCTAAGAAATTTTGTAGATAATTTGTAGAAACATTGAAATTCTGTATTTTCATATTAATTTTCAAATGATATGTAGTTTTGTTGTAGATTAAATATAGAAAACAAGCCATTATGAGTCTTATTTGACTCATTCCTCACATTCAACCTATTCTACAAATTCACGCCTCTTTAAATACAATACAACCATACTTTCTTGAATTTAAAACTTAAAAAACATCTTCTCCTCTGCACAAGTTAGCTCCAAAATAGACGAAGTGGAATAACAAGCTCCCATCAAAACTTTTAATACAAAAACACAAAGCTCAAAAATAAATAAACAACAGTCTACAATTTTTCTATAATTTCTCTACAATTTCTGCAATATAATGCATGTCATGTCTTCTTCTTCTTCTTCTTCTTCTTCTTCTTCTTCTTCTTCGAGTTTCAATATGAAATTCAGCCAAAACCAAGTCTAATCTTCACCAAAACCCCTCAAAATTGAGATATAAACTCCAAACCATATTCCCAATTATTTACAACAACACCCAATCCAAACAAATAATGATTTTTGAAAATCCAAATTAGAATTCAAAGCTTCAAAGCTTTTTAATGGCTGTCAATGGTGGAATTGCTGCTCTCTTTTCCTTTCCTCTTATATTACTGAAATTTGGGATTGCGAGATAGAGAGAGACGTAGAGAGAATTCTCAATTCTTTGCAACAACATCCAATCCAAACAAACAATGTCTTTTGAAAATCCAAATTCGAATTCAAAGCCTTGGCTATGGAAGAAATAATGGGATTTTGATACAGAAATCGTGGGTGTGGGAGGAAAACGTGGGTGAAGGTGTGGGAATTGGAGAGAGAAACGTGGGGGGAGTAGTATTAGAAGGAATATACGGTACCATTAAATTAGGAGTGTAATTAATACCCTTAAAAACCACTATGGTATATAATTGGTAATTAGGTATACTAAATGTAATTATATCAAACCTAAATATTAAGGGTAATATAGTTTCCAATATGGCATAGGAATGTAAAAATTCCTTCTGAGAACATGTTCCTCTGTAGTCCTTATAGTTGTAACATTCTCGGATAGATGAGATCTTTTAACTCTTTACCAAAGGTTTTGGATCAAATTTTAATAGAAAAATTCCTGATTGTGAATGCTTATTCTTTAAATGGTCCCTACCTCTGTTTTAAAGGCATAATTGAGACTCGCCCGGGACTCGCCCCGGGGCCAAGCACTCGTAAAACGCCCCTGGGCTTATGTGTGGGGCTTAGTTCCGTGAGACTTACGCCTCGGCCATCGGGGCTTACGCTCCGAACACGCCCAACGCCCAGCGTACTGGGCTCGCCTAATAGAATTTTATGCAATTTTATGTAACTAACCTTGTAAATCCTCAAATTTTCTTAATAAATCGTTGACTGTTCAAAATTACTTTTTTCTTAATCACAGATCATTAAGTTGCGAGTATTTTATGTCATAATTAAAATAAAAATTATTGCATGTTATCCACTAAGACTGCTATGATAGTAAATTTTAAATAAGTATTTCATTTAAGGTATTTATTTATTAACTTTTGTTATGTCTTTACTATATAATAGTCCATAGTTTTTATAATTATTTTTTTAAATATTATTTCTTTCACGTGTACGAGATACAATACTTATTAACTTAATATCTAAGTATTAGCTCGTAACTATTTACAAATAATTAGTTATCATGGTATTGCATGGTGAATTATGTGTCACTTTATTAACTCGTTGAAACTTAAAAATAAATGATGCTAGAGAATCATATTTAAATTGTGAATTATGTTTTTATATAAATTCTCTTTCAAATAGAAAGCATATTAAATAGAAGGAGTATTTTAAGAAAAATATCAAATTATAATATCGAAATTCTTTCAAGATTTATTACTCCTTAAGAGATACATATAAGATTTCGTATCGAATACATTACTTTTAATATTTGAATTGTAACGACGTTGCAGCTAATTTGTATATTATGATATATGTACATACTTTTCGTATCATTCATAGTTGAATTACAACAACAACAACTACCCAGTAAAATCCCACATAATGGGGTCTGGGGAGGGTAATGTGTACGCAGACCTTACCCCTGCCCCGATAGGGCAGAGAGGCTGTTTCCGATAGACCCTCGGCTCAAAAAGACGGAAAATAAAAAACAAGAAAAGAGAATTCATTAGTAACTCATTCATAGTTGAATTATAATTTATAAATATTTTAAGTAGATTATTTGTTATTACTTTGTGATTTTAATGTAATTTTATAATTATTTTTTATTTTATACTATCTTAAAATTCTTGAAATTAGTAAAATTTAAAGATCCGTGGGACTTACTCCCCATGTCTCAGGGCTTACGACTCGCCTCGTCAGAGGTTAAACGCCTCGCCTCACGCCTCCGCTTTTAAAACAGTCCCTACACGATGTAAATTTGAACCAGTCACGCCATAGGTAGCTAATACCGGATGATTAAACAAAAAAATATTCTGCGTATGGATTTAAACATATTAATGCAAGTACTTGACCATTGTAAATGGGAAATTCTCATAAAGCACTATCTTTTAGTAGTAATTAGCCATTTATAGATACCATTTGCTATATTACGGATTATAGATACATTTTCTGTGGTTATAAGATGTATTTGATGCATTTAAGCTATTGTATTCATGAATACAGTAGCAAAAATAGGCGTGAATCAGGGAAGTCCAGCTAATTAGTTGTTGTATTCGAGTGTATTCGACTGTATTCATGGAGTGAAACATGGGATTACAGCTGGACAGATTATTGTATTCGACTGTATTCACGGCGTGAAATAGGGGATTACACTGTTTTTTAAAATGGAAAGTGAATCAATTAACATAATATACTCCTAATATAACTCAACAAACTCAATTATAACACACAAAATTTGTATTGTCAGTTATAAAAAATATTCTCAACTGAAAAATACCCAAAAACATAACAATCTTTAGAGAAATTATATAATACATCTAAATACATAAATTATATTAATTAAAAAAAACATATGAATACATTCATGGCATATAGCGAGACAGTGAATACAATGAAATACATATAATACAGCGGGATACATTGAAATACAATGAGAAAAAAAGACAGTGAATACAATAAAATACATGGAATACAACGAGATACATTGAATTACAATGAAAAAAAGACAATGAATACAATGAAATACATGAAAATACAGCATGATAATGTTCTGCAATTGTAATTGCAACGTAAGGACGAAGAATCTGTCTTTCTCTTAAGGACGCTATCAAAGAGAAGTTCACGGTCCTTGATAATGTTCAATGGTTCGAAGTTCTTGAAGGCAAGCAAGGAAGATCTTCTGCAATTGTAATTGCAACGGAAGGGTTTAGGGTTTAATACTCCATATGGAGGAAGAAGAATCTCTAGAGTCTTCAGCAATGACCGAAATTACACATCAGAAATCATAGCCTTGGAGTTATCAAAATCGATCCTTGTAGGGTTGGTTTTTAGGGTCGGAGGGTTTGATTATGGACCCGGGAGTGAAAACGTACAATAGGAGTTTTAATGGGATGGGGAAAGAGAATGGGATGTATCAAAGTAGAGAGAGAAAGAAAATAGTGTAACTGATTAGCGTATTTAGTGGCTTAGGGCTAGGAGGTAACCAAAATTAAATATTTTGCTATAAACCTTAAAAGGTATCTATAGAATATAATTTTTTTAAATGGTATTTATTTAAAATAAATAAGGTGTTAACCTTTGGTATAGGAGGTAAAAATTCCTTTTATTATCTCACAATTTTCGAGGAGTGAGAAAGACAACTACAGAAATCAGGGACAGATCCAGTGTAGCAGTGCCTGGTTCATCTAAATTCAATATTTTTAGCGCGAATATCTAAAATAAGAACACATAGTAGATATGAACTCAACTTGAATCTGTAAAATTTAAATTCTGGATCCGTCTCTTCTGAAATATCCCACCAAAGAGAACACATATATCATATGATGAATGGTTAATGGTTATGTTTCATACTCTCATTCCATCACTGTAGATTGGTGTAAGTTTCAATTGTTTGTATTAGGTCAATTATTGGAAACTTTTCTGTTGACAAGTACGAATATAGCCCCACATTCATTCATACATCCCCAAAATGACCCAATCCATTATTCTCAAAAACAATTCACAGAGCACACTCAGCAGCCCAAACGTCCAAAATTGGGCTACAAAAAGGAAGAAACCAATATTTACAGCAGCCCCATTTCGGCCTTTAAATTAAGACCATACACGTGGCTCATTCTCTGCCATTCATTTATTCATTTCAGAAATCAGAACCCTCTGCCTTGTCAGGGTCGGGTCAGGGTACTGGATTTCTTATGGTTGCGTGGGCCAATCAAAGTTATTGCGGAAAAAAACTGGGATGGATCTGTGGGACCCAGAACAAAGTAAAATGATTGCCACATCAGCTCCGACAACGAGAGCCGTTGATTTGTGTTGGGACGGTTGAGATCCCTTGTCTTGAAAGCTCGTGAAGAACACTCTCCGTGGAAGGAGGTTTTAGGCCCAAAGGAAGAGGCAACCATGGTTTGGTTATTGCCTCTTTCACTACTTTATCAATAACCTCCTCAGCCTGCACCACAAGCAACATCCAAAAAAAGATAAAAATTACTCACAATCTTGAAAATGTTTAATTTTTATATGCTGAAGCTAAATATTTTTACACTATCAATGTACTAGGAAACCAACAATAGTTATAGAACAGCGTGTAAGGGTGGATCGATAATCTATAAATGAACCTTAGGCCTAAGCGTGCCTAAAAAACTAACAAGGAAAGGATCACGGACGAAGCTAGCTTTTTGTCTACTGTTCGGGCGAACCCAATAATTTTGATTAAAATCCTTAAGAATTCACTGAATATGTACGAATTATTACTTTAGAACCAAGTTAAACAAGTATGAATTTCAACCCATAAATTTGAAATCTTAATTGTGACTCTGGTAAGGATGTCCAAGAGGACCAACACCTTATAAAGAGACAACAACCACTCATTGGACTAATGTGAGACACTAATAGTTACGACTAATTAAACATTTCGGTTAAATAAGTATAAAATTCTTTTAACTTGTCGTAATGTAGCTTAAACGCTATTATCAAAGGAATTCTAGGGCCAAGCTAAAAACCATTTACGTTGTGTTTTTCCTTTCTAGTTCCAAAATGGAAAAATGAAACTCTCAATATGAAAATTTCTTAGTACAAGTATATCTATAAAGAACTTCCTTGGTCGTAAATAGGATGCAAAATCTATGAAGATATCCATAACAATCCTATTGAGACAAACTTACCGGGTGAAGATCAAATGACTTCTCTAGCATGCTATATCTATTCTGCATTCCGTTAGGCCGGTAAACTCCACCATTCTGCATAATCCAACTCATGTTCCATTAAGAAGAACTCAATGCAAGAAGTGAATTCACATTAAATAGTTCAAGAACATCACTGTAACTGTATAAAAGTATCTGATGGAGGTGGTGTTGCAAATGTATTCACCTGAGGATACGCCGGATATGATCCAAATGATGGTGGCATGACAGGGGAGCCCCATGCGTCAGCATGCAGCTGCATTATCACAAGACATGGGGTTTTTCAGCTTGGTATTCTTCGACCTCAAACAGGCAGATCGAATAAACCATAGTTTCAACTGAACCCAGTGTTTTTGACACGGAGTATAAATATATACTTAAAAAGTCACTTATATTTCAACAAATATTAAATTCTGAATCCATCTCAAACTACGATGAGTTATTGAACTTATTATGTTTAAATCCTAGAGTTTTCCACCGATATAGGCATGCCAAGCTAGAAGGAAGTAATTCAGCTGAGAACAAAAATGTTTACCCCTGGATGAGGCTTCCAGTGCCAAGAATCTGCAGGCTGCCATGCCGGATAGTAAGGTGAACCCCATACTTGTAAACCATTAGGATAACTTGCCGGTGGTACCCAAGCAGGATGTAATTGACCAACCGCCGGAACATGATTAGAGTGATACGGTGGGACGGTCATGATAGGTCTATGATGAGGATAATAGCTCCTTTGTACTGAATCTCTTGGTTGTGGATTAGGCCATCTCCTTTCCACTTCCTTTGGTAAAATTTGCCTCCGATGCATTCTGTATTTCTGCTTGGAAAGTAAAAGACACTATTATTGTTAAGCGAACGCATATGTCCATATCCAGCTATATTTAGCTCAACTGCTTAACTATGCTCCCTCATATGATATAGAAAATCATACCAACATTTATCTAACTTGAGGTGCCAATAAACTAAAAATGGCCAAGGTTTAGTGAGTATATTATTTCCCAAATGTTGATCATTTTCGTTAAAATACATTTCAGCCAAATTGCTTCTGACCGTTAAATGCAAAAGGCTAGGGTCTGCTGGCCCTTTTTTGTTTTACTGCATTAGGAGGTCAGGTTTCAAATGTTCCCTTTCCACAACAGACAAAGTCTTGTTTGGCTAATATTTAATTTTTAGCATTGGAAACAACTCAAAAGAAAAGGTAGAATAAATTGACAAAGAGCATAACTCACAAACCTGGAGATGGCTAGCTACGTTATGTCTCGTTATACCCTCCACTTTCATCAGCTCTAGTATTCGAGAAGGAATGGCTTGATCAATACCAAGTTGCTCTACTGCTTGAACAAACTTCTTGTGTAGTTCAGGTGACCAATCTACCTGAATCAGAAAAAGATACCAAACTTATTCCCCTAAATCAATTGATTCAAACTCCCGCATATGCAGGATAATTTGACTACTGCTCAGTCAACTATACTAGATGTTGAAATCCCAAGACAAATCTAGGTAGAGTCATATACTGATTGCTATGTTTCATGCACAGTTTGAGAAGTTAAAACTTCGAGATAACAAAATGAGCTCCGTATTCATCTTACAGGCGCCACGCCACATCTAATATATCTACATCTCATCCCTTTTTTCTTTAAAGAAGAAGAGAAAAATAACAAAAGACCACATGATTGTTGAACTAGAGAAGCAATCACAAAGCGTTTTTCAGGCCTTCAAACACAAAAATGCATGAGGAACCTACGCAACTAGGAAAAAAATCAAACTGAGGTCAGAAAACAGCATTCTTGTACCTTTGGAGCCAATAGAAAACAAAAAATGGCTTTCTTGGACCACAATATTATGGAACTTTGAACACATAATTACCATCATTATATTTCTATGAGAAACAGGCACCATTTCTTCCATCTTACCTTCATCTTCTTCTTATTGGTTTTAGTCCCACTTGAACTATGGGGAGCAGATGCTTTACTAGGTTCAGCAGAATGACTACTGCTATTGTCAGGGCAGTTGTTACTTGGTGAAGAGATAGCAATATCAGCCTCCATCTTTTGATGAGGAGATGAACCATTCTCCTCTTTCACAATTGTCTGTCGTTGCTCAGGAGGACTTGTTTGGACAGTACTCTCAGCAACTGTATTGTTAAAAGTAGTTTCGACGGATTTAGTGTCCCCATCATGCTCCCCACTGTCTTGTTCAGTTGAGAAGATAGTATGATCTTGGCAATCACCATCGTCCACTGACCTCACTCCTTGTTTCAATTGTGGGGTTGATGGAGCAGGGTATTTATCGCAGCCTGATGACTGTTCATTATTGTTGTCCGGTACTGAGGTAAAAGGTTCCGTTTCATTTGAACTTTTGTCATCTGGTGCACTCTTTACTCGCTGTAGCTGTGGCACGGAAACAAGAGATTCTTTTACTGGTTTAAGCGATTCGGGCACATCTTTTTCTCCAGCATTGAATGCCTGCCACAACCAATAAGATCAGGATGTCCTCTCCACATAAAAAGTGTAATAGTTTGAAAGAATCACAAGGTGACCCAGTAAAGTCTTCGCAACAAACCTTGCGAACTACATGTTGCCAGATATTTTTGAGTTTATCATCTGATAATGGTTTCTGAAGAAACTCGACTGCACCAAGCTGCAATACATCAACACAATCAACTTTTTTTTACATAATTACTGAAAACAAAGTGCTTCATTTTTTTCTTAAAAAGTGCTTCAAATGAAAGCTTGAGCCCCAAATCTCACCGCTATACACTTCATCATTGTGCTAAGGGAATGAATATTTGATGTCACTGCAAGAAGTAAGCAAAATTTTATTAGATATATTTTAGCTTTTAAAATCTTTCAAGACAAGTACAGTTATCAGAAAAAACTTAGAATGCATTAATAGGTAATTTTCTTTGTGTTACAAGTCAAAATTTAAGATTATAGCACTTGCAACTCTACCACTATCATCATATCTGCAGAAACCAAGTCTAATTGCAATACAGCACTTATTTTCGATATGTATAACACTCACTTATTGTTGGCAGATCTTTGGCACTCTCAAGAAATTGGAGAACTCCATCACTGTTGCCTGTAGTTACCTGTGTCAAATGATAGACAAATTCATCGACAATTAGTATAACATTCTGACCTATGTTTAATTTTTATTGATCAACTATTGTATAATCGAATATCAATAGGGATGCCTACTGTTTTAGCTGGTATATAATAGCCTAAATTCCCAATTATAGCATTTACATGTTAAAATGGAATTATTATTTGAGAATAGTATCGACCTGCTGCTTTACACCACATACTATTTCTTCAACGAGCTAGCTCAACTGTATTATTAGAACTTAAACGAGAGAAAGTTTCAAGAGAGGAGCAAAAATGAAACTATAGTACCTCCACAATGGCAACATGAAAGCACTCAGATTTGTTTGAGATTGCAGACAAAGCTTCATTCTCATTGCAGAATGAGTAAACTGCAAAAACATGAAATTTCAGGAAGATTTACGAATAGATACAAATCCATGACCTCTTCAAAAGCAGAAGATATAGCAAAAGAAGCAGTGAAAAATAACACAAAAAATTTGGGACAAATAACAAGCTAAGGACTTGAGCAAAATATCATCCTAGCCATACAAAAAGTTGAAGCCTCAACTATAACTCTCAATAGTTAAAGGAAAAGGCAGCCCGGTGCACTACGCTCTCACCAAACCACAAGAGTCTATTGTACGCGGCCTTACCCTGCATTTCTGCAAGAGGCTGTTTCCATGGCTTGAACCTGCAACCTCCTGGTCACATGAGAGCATTTTTACCCGTTACCCCAAGGTTCCCTTCTCAATAGTTAAAGAAAGAAGAGTGAAAAACATTATTAATAAAAATTTACACCAGTAATTCAGAGTATTCTGCAGTAAATTACTCAATGTTTGCTAATGTGAAGCAACCAACTGTCCCAAATTTTGGAACAACACAAAAATAGATTAGACTAGCAAGAACCATAGAAAGAAAGTTTGAAATGCCATTTCTGTAAAGGGACATCAGCATCATTCCAGGAAAAGGCAAAAGCAAGAAACATGAATCACTTAAATGCTTTTCATCTTAAAATAGAAAACATGGAACAGAAAACTCTATTTACCTCAGTAATAAATGCAAAAGGTATTTCCATATGAAACCTAAAACTAGAAGCCACAATTATGGAAAACAGAATGCAAGTAATTGACCAAAAAATTTATACTAAAAAGGGATGAACAAGAAAGGATAAAGGTGCGAGTAAGTATTTTTCGAAGACTGTGCTACAACTAACCTATGTAGTCCAATTTTTCAAGCCTTGATCTCATCTCTGCAGCAGAATTGTAGTCTTCATCAAGAAGAAGGACTTTAAGCCCCTTTGGAAAATCTTTCCAACCCAATAATTGATCATTAATCTCAGTACAAATCATTTCTAAAATGGCATCTTTTTCAGTCAGCCAAATTAGAGCTTCCAAAATAATCTGCACACACCCCAAAATGAATTCTCCTCAGATTTAAAATCTCTTTAGTTAGCCATAAGTTTCAGCTAAATTGTTCAAAAGTGGTACAATAAACAACAATCTTTAGAAACCACTCTTAAACCTCACAGCAAGTTTAATTCATAATGATAATATTTTTATAAGTCTAAGAAAAAAGAGAAAAAATATTAAAGATCAATCCCCCATTCTCCTACCCACCTTTTCAAGATTTAATCTTTAACATCATTTAACCAAAAACAAAAGAGGCAATTAAAAAGACTATGCTTTTAGCTTTAAGCATAGGGTATAGCCAACATAAAGCAACAAAAAATTAACAAAACGCCACGTGAGAGATCTTCAATATTTATTAACATAAAAAGACAAAAGTTATATAAAAACATTTGAATACAGAAACATCACAATTCCAAGAACACCTGAGATTTTTAAACTTGACCAAGAAAAAGAAGAAATACAAAAAAAAAAATGGAAAAACCCTTAGACAAGTGGATATATAAACGTGGAGAAAACGCACAACCAAGTTCTTTAACTTATTCTCCTTGATGCATGAACGTGTAAAAAATCCTACGGATATAATGCATGTAAAATAGCAAGCAAAATTCTATTATACATAAGCAGTACTAGTATTATTATATATATACCCCAAATATCTCTTAGGAAATGAAGAAGACTAGTTCATTTTTTTTAATCGTCCTATAATGGTCGTTTCTTGATTGTATCTACCTGTGTATAAGAGGGGAGGGGGGGGGGGTTAAGGGGGATTCAGTGAGGCTGTGAGAGAGAGAAAAAGAATTGAAGAAGAGAGAGAGAGAGAGAGAGAAGGCGCGGGGTGTTGAAGTGCACTTACTGGAGTTGGCTGTGTCTTGTGTGTTTTGTTGTTCTCTGCTGCTGCGGACCACAGATGCATTTAGCTACTTTGCTTTTGGTTGGTCAAAATACAAATTACTCCTAATTTTTATTTATTTATAACTTATGATATACGATACCAACTTATCACTAAAGGATATGGTGTAGTGGAAGAGACTGTTCCTTCCTTAATCAGAGATTCGGGTTCGAGCTTTCCCCCGAATGGGACCCTATGCGGCACGAATTTGAATATAGTTGGGCTCCAAGACGAATACCGGACACCGGATGAAAAACAAAAAAAAATATTCGATACCAACTTGTCCAACTAAATCAGATTCAGGCTTTATCAGTAATTTATTTATTTTCAAGATTCGAACTCGAAACGTGCAGAAATGAATTGTATTTCTGTTTATGAATGTTGATGTATTTTCTTCGTGCCAATATTGTAACTTTAAATCTTACTTGGGGTAACTTGTATTAAATTTTGTATTCTTATTTTATTATTTATTTGATGATCTTCATTTGAATTCTAAAACGGACGGATTTAGAATTTAAACTTGACATGTATAATTTTTGAGGTTTTTGACAATAAATTATTGTATTATTTAAAATTTATGAATTTAGATCAATATGGGTTGAAACTTTTAGTGAGTTACATAAATATATTTATATTATGCGTCAAAAATTACTGAATTAAAAGTTTTTGAAGATGAAATTACTCCTAATTCATTTTATTAAACTCGCATTAAAAACAATTGTGAAACAAAAAGAAACACTATTTGTCAAAAGAATATTTCATGTTCTTAATAGGGAAAATTTCACATAAGAACAATTGGACTTCATACTTTTTAATTTTATAGCCCATATTTTAATTTATAACCAATTAGCCCAAATATAATAGGCTAATACTGAACATTCAACTCTAATAGGTTCTCGAAATTATTATTTAAAGAAAAGATTGCTCAAGATTTTAAGTTAACTTTCGAATCAGTAACTGTGACTCAAATATTAGTTTAACAAGCCAAATCCACTTGGGTAGTGAAAATTTAGATTTTTAACAAGCTTAACTATGTGGGTTTAAATTCCAAATTTGATTTCGTGAGAATTATGGAGTGGGTATTATTTAAACTTGTTAGAAATAGTATAAGGAGGTTGTATATAAAATTTGAAGTCATTTAATAGAGATTTGGACTGGTTTTGAACAAGAATTGCAACTGAAAATCGTGGAAGAAGTTCGTCTACAGACGTTTGTATAAAGGTGTATAAAAGCGTATAAGATGTGTTTATACACTCATATACACAATTATACAAGATTACGCAAAATTATACAAAAAATTGACTTCGTCTTCTTCCTTGCGTCTTTTCTGAAATTTAACTCAAATCTTGCTCAAATCTACTCTAAATCACTTCAGCTTTAAATCTTGAACTCCCTTTGATATTTGCAATCAATTGGAACAACACCCAATCCAAACAGCTAACAAACTCAAAAAATTATATTTTCGAAAGCAAAGCTTTGATGGCCTTCAATAGTGGACTTCTACTTTTCAATTTTCTTATATTGCAACCAGGTGACACAGGGGAAGAAGCAGAAAATACTCAGCCCCTTGAAACATACGTAGATGTGAGAAAAAGAGATAGTGAAAACAATAGTTGTGAGAATACATATTTAACTCTATAACTTTTAGAAGCAATGATTGTAAGACCATGTATTTTGAATTTACCAAGATGCGTTAGGTAAGGTAAAACTTAACATGGACCATATTTTATTATGGTGTGAAATTATGTGTATTATGTTTGTAATTCTTTCTTCTTAATATTCCTCCCACTCTCTCAAGAAAAAACATTTTCCACGGTTCAATCACTATTTGTCTCTTATATTCTTTTCATAATCATACCTAAAAACAAAAAGAAACACTGTACATTTTGAAATTTCAAACATCTAAAACAGAAATGAGATCATGATTGCATTTGCATTTTCTTGTCAAAACACAAATTGGGCTTATCCTTAGTATTCCATTGGTCTCATTTTATTTGAAGTTATTATTAATTTGAAAATTGAAATATCTTCTTTTACTTTTTCAAATACTTTTTAAAACATTTAATTTATACTCCATGATTCACAGTACTTTAATACAATTTCTAAATATAGTAATTTAATTTTAAAAATCATAATAAATGTTTAAATCTATACTGAAAATTACACATTTTGACCCTCATATATATGTTGAGATGGAAAAAATAGCTGGTTGTATTTTAATGGGATGGGACTTCTCACATAACTCAGCATACTCAAAACTTGCAACAAAAAAAGAGTCGAGAACGCTAACATACGTTATAAATTTTTCTCTAATACATGTTTTTATCGGAAAGTGTATATATATATATATATATATATATAATATATATATATATATATATATATATATATATATATAAGAATTAGCTAGGGAAGGTTTTTAAAAATCCTATAACGGAATAGGAAAATTAAACATACAATTTTCTTACCCTTCAATTCTATATATTTTCTTTAATTCTAACTCTTCTCTAATCTACTCTTATCGGCATAAAATTAAGAATCAAATCTTAAAATAAAGTTTTATATTGCCAAGCAAGGTCTTATACTTAGTGACTTAGTGATTCAAAGATTCTACTATCTTAGTTTAGAAACAAATTATTCCAAATTATGTTTCTATTACTAGAATATTTTGTGATACGTCAGAATGTTTTATAATATCATACGTATAATATCAGCTTATTCCAAATTTTTAATAACCTGGAGTGACGTACAAATTTTTTTAATTTGCAATATTGTATGCTTCAAATGTCACGGCTTTTTTCGAAATATTCTTCTACATTTCTTTTCCTATCAAAAGTGAGCTCATTATTTGCTAATCAGTCTTTTATTTTTCAATCCTCACTCTTTGCTAAAATCATTATACCGAAATAAGTACCTTAAAATCTAACAAAAGATTCAACTTTTTTGCTGCCTTTTTTGTCAATAATAATGCAAAGCAATCAACTTATACCACTTACCATCAAATCAAACTTTTGCACTTATTCTCTTTGCTTTTATTATTTACAGAGCTCACTAATTATAATGACTTAAAATTTAAAAGATATAGAATCATTTTGGGATGGTAAAGGAGAAAAGGAAACTTGGTTGAATTCTTTTCTAAAAGATGAATGAAATATTTGGTTCTTTCAAAAAGATGAATGGATTTTTTCCTTTATACAGATTCTCACCCTTCTTTTCCCCTTTTTTGTTAGAGCTCATGATAATGCAACTTGATATCTGAAACGTGTCACTATTTTCAGAAATTTGATCTGAAGGTGGAATTTTTTTTTTGAAGGTATTGTTGTTTGAACAAAAAAATAACTTTTTTAGTTTCACGCAAAAACTCACGAAATTCGACAAAAAATAATTATATCCAATTACGCTTTTGTTTCATGAAAACTTCTTATACAATTTTCATTGCAGAATACTTTTTTCAGGAATTAGAAAGATAAGGCTTTAGCACCTTTGATTTACAGCTTGTTTGGACGGTTGTTATGTATGTTTCATAACGTATAGTATAGTATTGTATAGATTGTATTATTTGCCGTCGTTTCATGATGTCATGCATCAATAATATTAAAAATAAACATACAATATTATAAAACAAAGTAAGGTATGGAGTAGAATTATTATATAAAAAGGTAGGATAAATGATAAAATATGATTATTTAATAATAAAGAAGGGCAAGATGAAAGAAAACAAAAAGGCAACGATGCGATCATATCAAATCGGTCGTTCCAAAAATGATACTTTTCGTTGTTACGTAACTATTGTTGGGGTTGAAGTGGTAGTGTGAATGGGAAATGAGGAAAGAAGGTGGAAAGGCAACTTTGGCTTTTGCACTTTGTCCCTCATTGGTTAAAGACAAGTATTTTGTTGGGTTTAAATATAGAAGCACTTCCTTAAGCTCTTAAAAGGAGCTAAGAGGAAGGGGCCTCGCGCCGTCGTCGTCGCTCGGCTTCGGCTTCGGTCAATTGATATGATTGATTGACTTAATTTTTTGGACCAATAAAATGAAATTAATTAATTAAATATCAATATTTTGAATGACCGTTATTAGTAATGTTAAATTAATTAATTTCCGTCTTTAATTTTCCCGCGTTAATTAAACAGGCCTGTTTTACGAATAGCCACCAAAGAGAGGCTGCATTTTACGAATAGCCACTTGAAGTGTGAACAGCCACTTTCACACCCTTTCAATCCAGAATTCGTTAGCTATAAATAAGCAGCCATTCCTTCAGAATTTTTCATCCAGAAATCTTCTGCTTCATCTCCTTCTTCTTTCTGCATCATTACTTTCAAAATAAAGTAAGTTAAAGTCGTGTGATTTCCACCATTATTTTGAGTTCGCTGATAACTTAGTGGTTTGAAGTGCCGCTACCGCTAAGTTGGAAAGTTCCGTTCTATCCTGGAAAGAATTTATTCGTTAACCTTGGGCAACAGTGAGGGGATAAGATTCTTTAAGGACACACACGGAATTTGTGGGCTCGGAACATAATTCTGCCATTTCTGTTCATTTATTTTTCCTGGTTTTAGTCACTTAAAATTTCAGATTATCTAACAAGCTTAAAGAATCTTATTGTTTATACATATCTTTGCTGTTCTGATTTTTTAAGTGACTCTCCTAATAAGTTTGAAGAATAATCTCTTCACTTTGTTAAAATCAGTTTGAAGAATAATCTCTTCGCTGTGTTGTTTTGGGTTGAAGGATTAAATACTTCACCATTTACTGAACCTGTTTGTGTCATATTGACAGAAATGACTAACGGGGAGGAACAAATTGAACCTGTTGTGACTGTTACTGCTAACACAGTTTCAAGGATGCCAGGTCCTAGCCGTCCTACTGCACCTGCAACGGCGATGCCACCAGCGGAAAAGCCTGGAAAATTTTCTGGTGTT